AGCAACTGGTCATTCCCGGGAGTCAATTTGCATATTGCCCTTTTATTATATAGGATGTAATGTGGGACATCTGATTGTGATGGCAGGTGTGATTTGTGGCCCTAGAAAGTACTACTATTCAACAAGAGTGCAACATCTTCCCTAGAGATGTTTAAGACCAGGTCAAAGCTGGTTTAAGTAACGTATTATCCTGCTTAGCAGCAGAAGCTCAGACTGGCTGATTCCTAATGCCTTACTGACCTAACCATTCTGTTTTTCCAAGACATTCATGGCTTTACAGAGTTGGACAAAGGTTGTTTTGGCTGGACTCTGTGGTCTTCATATCTTTCAGTTAGTGATTCCTTACTGAAAATCCACTGCATGAAAACTACAGAGGAGAAACTAAGGTCTTATTTTAAGTTCTCCATATATAGACTCTTGTTTCTGGTAAAGAATAATTGTAAATGAAAGAATATATATATATTTATATACATATATGTATATATAAATAATTATGTACCTATTGCATAATGCATATATTATAATTATAATATGTATATAATGTGCATTAAAAAAGAGAATGCCAGGAAAACAACTTTCTGTGACAATAACAAGGAGAGATGGAATGAGGATGTGTTGAGACAACACTAAATTACCGAGGTGAGTCTTTTTAGAGTCCAATTAGAGAGGTTTATATCAGATCATGATACATCTAAACTTTAAATTCTGAAAGTAAACCATCTACCAGAAGTCACATTCTTAAAAACACGAAATGGTTAACTTAAATCAAGATTATTAAGATGTGTTCTCAGAACCAGCTTTATCTGGGAACTTATTAGAAGTACATATTATCAGTGCCCCACCAAACCTACTGAATCAGAAATTCCTTGGTGGGCCCCCAAAATCTGTGTTTTACAAAGTCCTATGGGTGATTCCGATGCATACTAAAGTTTGAGAACCACTGGCTTAGATCTCAAGACAGCCTTAAGTTGTAGGTTGTAGGGAAATGAATGAAATATCTATAAGATGTAATTTAAAGTAAACCCCAAACTGGCCCAAGAAATGCCTGGCTTTCTTAAAATTAGAGCAACTCCAGTTAAGACACTGTCACTATTAAGCTACTATGCTCATTAATATGCCAACACTTATCATTTATATTGTTCCTCAGCTGTCACTTGACAAAGAACCCGGGTATGAAGGAAAGCAGAATGTGGCGTATCATATGACAGGTCAGGGAGTGAAGGAAGGGGAGTCCTGAGCCCTTATCCCAAAGGGGTGAGAGACAGGCCCAGGTGAAAGCCTGCGGTGAGGGATACTAGAAAGGCAAGGGTGCTCTCAGCGGACAGAGAAAAGGCTGCTCAAAGAAGTCCTTTGTCATCATTACTGTCTTGAACAGCACTTCACTCTCAATTAATTGAGGAGATGGTCTCCCGTGGCCTGTGAGGACAGAACAGTTTTTAAATTGGAAAGATAGTTGTTTGTTACTGATTAGTATTCTACACTCATTTTATAAATACTTGTGACTCCCATTCAAACTAAATGTGGATTACTCCAAATCTGCATTACATACAGCACCAGCAGTTTCCCAAGATGAAATCTATAAATTCAGATACCAACGTTTGCAAGAACTTAGTTAAATATGTCTTTATAATGTTCTTACATGTTTCATTTACAGAGCACATATTTAACTAACACATACATCAAAAAAGTTTGATATTAACGTTTTAAAACTTTGTTACAGTACTTAATGACTACAGCAATATTTAAAAGCAAATAATTTTACATTTAACAAACAAAAATATTAAAGCTTCTAGTTTCTCATAGCACATTTCCACACTATACAAATGTTAGTTATCTTATATTTCTCAAAGGCTTTCTACATGCCTTTTAGAAACTCAGTTAAGGCCATGACCGATGTGGCTTAGTTGGTTGGGTGTCATCCTGTGCACCATAAGGCTGCCAGTTTGATTCCCAATCAGGGCACATGCCTGGGTTGCAGGCTCAGTCACTAGTAGAGAGTGTGTCTGAGGCAGCCGGTTGATGTCTTGCTCTCCCATCTCTCTCTCTCTCTCTCTCTCTCTCTCTCTCTCTCTCTCTCTCTCTCTCTCTCTCTCTCTCTCTCTCTCCTCCCTTCTTCTCTCTCTAAAAATCAGTTTTAAAAATCTTAAAAGCAAAACAACACAAAAACAACAACACAACTCTTAAGGGTAAAACTCAATTCAGACTTGCTTTTGAAAATTATGACCAAAAAAAATGACTTCAAATATAAGATGGAGATAGTGGCAAAGTTTATGTTCAAGTTACCACAGGAAAAGCTTAAGTTATTGATTCTTTGAAGTATTCCTCCTAAAAGTAGCAAATGCCCATGTACAACAGTCTTTTTTTGTGTTGTTCTATCAGCTGACAGGTGACATTTTAACCTCTAATCAACCATAGCAAGATTATTCAAAATTAAGGTTGACATTTTGTCCTTTAACTAGTTCCAAAGTACTGCAGGGGTTTTACTGCCTGATGTTACACCATATGTGCAAACTCTCAACTCAGCAAGCAGGGTTAAGCAGGATGCCTCTGTACTTTGCCATTCGGCTGCTTCCTGTGTTTTTGGAACAACCCTAACTTTGGCTAAACATAACCCTCTTGGTGAACCATTTTTAGTAAGAGAATCCGCCTTATGGGAGAGTATGTTGAATATATTTCTGAAGCCTTGCCATCTGTGGAACTCACAGAGCTCAGTGGCTTGGTATTTTGCATATAATAAAATTACTTACCACTTAAGTGTTTATGAATAAAAATCCAGACAATTATGAAATAAACAACAGGAGGAATTCTTTTTGAAGTATTTTGTGTTTGTCACCTGGTTTACCATTAAATGACAGTAATCAATGGCAGATTTTCCCAAAGCCTTTTCCATAATTCAAGTTATTTTTTAATTCTAAATTTACTAACATTCGGGTAATAGGATGTATAGAGGTTCAATTCAGAAAAAGTCTCTTAGGTTTTTATATTCAGAATACTTTGCCAAATATGAAAAATATATATGAAAAATGAGAGAATGTCAAATGCTAGTAATAAACTATTTCCTTATCTTAATGTCAGTAACACTTATCAAACCAGAGTTCATGAAAAGAAAATCTACAGAGAAAAAACAGTACCTTTTAAATATATATATATATAACTTCCACAATGGTCTTTCTTCAGTTTTTCTGTTAAGTAAAACATTTAGCTCTATATAACCCCAAAAAATCTATACATAGTTTAGAGAGGGAAGCATAAAGTCTCATGGGCCTCAGATTCACTTTCTGTTGCCTTCTTTCATTGTATGTTTAAAGATAATCAATAAAAATTATTTCTCTTTGTAAGTATTTTCCTGTTCTGCCAGATAATAGCAGTTCCTGCTCTAAAATGAAGGGGGAGGAGGAGGGAGAAGAGTAATATTTATCATAAGAGGAGAAAAAGAAACTGCCTAAGCACTTTTCCTGAGCCAAGTGAAACAAAACATCAAAGCAAGTTTATTCTTAATGAAAGATATTTAAATACTCATGGCATTAGTTTTATTCTTAAAATCCGTGGCATCATGTTTTCAAACTCTGGATTTATATTGCAACTTTCAACAATAAACTCTTTCTGTTTCCTAATAATTTTACTTTATTTACTTTATTTCTGTATGAATATACATATCACATGCAAGACTTTGGTCAATGTTGAATACTGAAGTAATAAAGAAAGGAGAGTTAAGGCCCCCAAATTGCCTTTAGAGTAGAGTGAGATGCAAAACCACAGAGAAAAAAATAGATGAAAACAAAGTTCTATCTGGTAAGGAAATAAAGAACTGCAAACAACTCTATCTCTTGTTTTAAAGCACAAAACTTTTTGCCACTTGCATTTTTTTAGCACAAGAATTTTCTTACTTAAACATTACTTGAAAGTTTTATATTAAAAATCTAAAATAATCTGTTGGGGTTTCTCCAATAAGTAGACTCTTTCTCAGACTATTAATTTTTAATTGCTTTTTTCCAGGATTTTCACAAAACTCTGTAAGGAAACGCCAAATGAAATAGTAACAGACTCTTACTTTATAATGAAGTTACAAATACATTTTACATATTTTCCTGGATTTTCCCCTTCACTCTGCATTATCTATGATAGTTGTCATATTTCACCAGGGCAGATTATAAATCAGACAAGTTCAGCCTTTCAGGTTGAAAAATGGAGGTGAAAGGCACAGCGGAAAATATATAAAGTATAATTAAAACCATATGACCAGAGATATTGAAGCAGTACTTGTTGGAGGAAACCCAAGTAAAAATCAAACCTGTTCTGGTGTTAGTGACATTATCCAGTCCATTTGGGACAAGCGGACATCATTTGCTAAATGTTCTTTTTTTTTTTTTTCTTAACAGTAAGAGTACCCAGGAAAATGAAATCTTAACAAGATAGTTACAGCTATAGCTATCTTTGTAGACTAGTGAAATTCACAGTTCTTAATGCAAAACTGGTATCTTATTTAAAACAGTAATCACTTCTTTAGAAATATAGTTTAAGATTGGGTAAGGATAATTTTACCAAAGAGTATTAAAAGACTTATGATGACAATGCAGAACCAAAAACATTTCTACTTTTCTATGATGTCTTCTTGATTAAAGACCTGAGGATTCCAGTAAGACACAGATAATCTAATTGCTTTCTATTGAACATGAAGAGCAAGAAGTGATGGAATGCAAACTGTCTCCCCTACCACATTATAAACGACCTAAACGTTACTGCCTCACATAGGTGGTACTTAGCAGGCTAATGATGTATATGTGTCTAAGGATGTACAGGAATTTAAGAACTCCCCAAGTTGTAAAGCAATTCCAGTAAAAACCTCTGACTTTGGTACTCTGTCACCAAAGCCATTTCATGTCTGTTTCTCAAGAGCATTCCAAGTGTCAATTATAATAATCTCAAAAGACAACCGGAACATAATTTTCAATATGACTTTGGGATTCCAGTAAACAACTCAAGTGTAGCAAGTCACTTACCCCCCAGAAACTGAATTCCTCCAGCCACTCTTCCCACTGTTCTGGAGATGAGCTCCGACACACAGCAACCCATGAGAGCGGTGAGAGCCACCAGGAGGAGGAGGCCACAGCCCAGGCCCGTCACGATGGTGCAGATCCTCCATTCTGCGCTGGGGATGCCCTGGAAAGAGGCGTAGCGCCCACATTCTTCCACCATCACCATCATCTGCCGGCTCTCGTCATGCACCGGATAAGAGCACCTCCGGAAAGTACCGAAGGACACAGGCTTGCCCAGTTGGGATCCCCAGAGCCAGTAAGGCATAAAGAACCCCACGCAGGAGGTAGCAGCACAAAGAAAGGAGAGCAAAGCCCAGATCACCCCAGTACACGTCAGGCTGGATGCCATCTTTCTCCAGATAGGGCAACGAGGACCCAAAGGGCTGCAAGAGTAAGTGAAGGTGTGAAACCACCAGGTTTTGGGACCACAGGTAATCCGCAGTTCTGGAATGGGGAGTGTCTATGAACAGAAGGGATCTTCAGCCTTACTGGGCCTCAGCTTCCCATCCTCCGTAGTAAGGGTGATGATCCCTGGTAAAATAAGAAATATTGAGAGTTTAATGTTTTCTAGTGAAATAGATAAAAACATCAATTCAGTTATTCTAAACTTTTAATTAATAAATACTCAAACTTGCCTTAAGACTTCAAAAGTGAGAAGTCTCTGCATGAGCCCAAACAAAATGATTAGAATAAATTTCACAATTCCAGAGCACCATAAATTCACCAAACCTTATAGACTGTCTAGACACAGAATGGATGGAGCTAACAGGCACTCCCAGTACTAAGTTCAATAGCATCTGTGAATCCCTTCCATCTTAACTATCCTCTCCCGGAGTAAGTGAAAGAAAGCCAGTGTATGACTTTATTTTCTGCAATTTTGATTCATTGGTTCCAATAAATTTTTTGGAACTATCTCTCTAGTTCAATGATCGTCCGTGTCTAATCTGAAAAGTAATCCATACCTTCGAGTACTCTATAGCCAACCCCAATAATTCAAATAGTTCCACAAGCATTTGACTGCCACCCCTGCTTCTGTTTCAAAAAGTGTTCCTGAACCATTTCCCACACTTCCCATAAAAAAAATAAATGCAGAAGTCCAAAGTCCATGCACCCTGGAGTTCCATTTCCAGAACTCTCATCGCCAGCGTTCAGAGTCCACAACAAATGTCCCCTTCCCTCACCTCTTCTCTTTCCCAAGCCTTGCCCCTGCGGCTTCCTCTCCACCCCGCAGCCCCATGTACAGTCCAGTGTGTCACTGACTACTATTTTTTTTTTTTTAATCTTGTCAACTGTGGCCAGCATCAGCGTTAATGACTAAAGTTGTCTGTCTGGGCCATGAGGCTGGGAAAGGAGAGTGGGGGGTGACAGAGAGGGCGGAGGGCCATCATCTAGAGCTGGGGTAAGGCCAAGGCAAGCCCATAATCAGCCCCTACAATGTCCCCACCTACCCACCCCTCCCCCTACCCCCATCCCCACTCCCACCCTCACCCCCACTCCTGAAGACACATAAGATCCCTGAATCCAAAAAGCGGGAGCTAGGCGTTTTCCAGCCGGCCTTTGAAGGGAGGATGGGAAGGCAGCAACGCCCCAGGCAGACGCCAACAGCCGACGCGGCAGGTCGGGGGAGCCCGGCGGCAGCCCCGCTCAGGAAGTCCGGAGCCGGGGGCCGCCAACTCCGGCGCCAGGCCCGGGGGCCGAGGGGAGCCGCGGGGAGCCCACGCCCCGGGCGGGAGCTCCGCACTCACATGGCCGGCGGCGGCGGCCGCCTCCTCCCCGGGCCGGCGCGCTCACAACTTGCCGTCTTTCCCGGCGGAACGTCCGCGGCGAGGAGACCGATCTCCCTTCCTCGCCGCCGCCCTGAGCCGCAGGGAGTCCGGGCGGACTTGGGAGAGGGGCCGGCTCCGGGGCTGCCCCAGGACGCGCCGCGCCGCCACCAGTGGAGCCCGCTCCCCGCGTGTCCGGGGCGGGGGTTCGCTCGCAGAGGCGCAGCCCGCTCCTTGGCAGGCGAGGCACGCACCGCCCCTCCCTCCGGCCGCCTCCTCCCCCGCTCCCGCCCCCCGCCCCGCGGACCCGGGCCGACACACCCGGGGGGACAGACCCGGGGGGACAGACCCGGAGGGACACACCCGGGGGGACACACCCGGGGGGACAGACCCGGGGGGACAGACCCGGGCCGACACACCCGGGGGGACAGACCCGGGGGGACAGACCTGGGGGGACAGACCCGGGGCCGACACACCCGGGGGGACAGACCCGGGGGGACAGACCTGGGGGGACAGACCCGGGGGGACAGACCCGGGGGGACAGACCCGGGGGGAAAGACCCGGGGGGAAAGACCCGGGCCGACACACCCGGAGGGACAGACCCGGGGGGACAGACCCGGGGCCGACATACCCGGGGGGACAGACCCGGGGGGACAGACCTGGGGGGACAGACCCGGGGCCGACACACCCGGGGGGACAGACCCGGAGGGACACACCCGGGGGGACACACCCGGGGGGACAGACCCGGGGGGACAGACCCGGGGGGACAGACCCGGGCCGGGCGCGGTGGGCAGGGTCCGGGCGCGCGGGGCGCGGAAGGGCGCACCCCTCTGCGCTGGGGTCCAAGCCCATCTCTTGGGTGGCTTCCGCGGCTCCCCGAGCCCCTCTCATTGTGACTCTTTCCGAAGGGAGAGCGGTGGAGGCAGTCGGACAGAGAAGTAGGGGAGAAAGTTGCTTGTCTTTTGGAGAGCTCGCGAGGGGCCACGGAAGACGAGACACGTTTCCTGTCTGCTTTTGTAGGTCTGGTATTTGGGATTGAAGCTCCGGTTGTAGATGAGAATGGGGCCTTCAAGACCGAGTAAATTGACCCTTTTGAGCTTTGCGGACGCTCTTGGGATGTGGTCACTTGGGAAGTGGGCGAACAATGTGGACTTGGGAATGAGAGATGAATAGGGGAGGCCACGGCTCAGGCCGGCGGCCGTCTTCCAGGCTGGCCGGGGAGGAGGCGGGGGCGACTTCCCGCAAAAGGGAGCATCTCCTAAGACACTCCCTTTGGGAACTTCTTTCAAGGCTCAGCATTGCAGCTCGCTCTCTCCCTCCTTTCACCTTCTCCCCCTCCTTCCCTTCCCTTCCATCTCTCCAGTCAATTTTGAAATCAGTACTGACACTGGATTTTTTTTTTCCTAAGAAACAACTGATTTTTATTTTCCTTCCAGACGAGGTTTTGGATTTTTGGTTGGTGGTTGTTGTTGAGCGGTATCCCTTTGGCAGTTTAGAGCTATGTTCAGTACAAAACTGAAAGTGCTCGTACAGTCTGGGAATAGCAGTTTTTGAAACAGATACTTTCCCAGATATAGTTTGTGAATCGCTTCTTCAAAGTATTGGAAAGAAATAAATGAGCATGTATATAGTAAATTTCCAAATTGCACCATTTCATTTAGTTATGATGGTGCATTGCCCCCCCCCACACACACACAGTTACAGCTGGAAATGTGCATAAAAGGTCATAGATTCTTTTAAGAATATGATGAAGCTGATAAGCCTCCCAGAAAAGAAATGCACACACACATTAAGCTTAATCACAGTGGAACAAGGGGGAGGAGAGAGATTATGCCCCCCTTGCACATTTGGCAAGTTTAGGACACAGGATTTTTTTAAAAATATATTTTTATTGAGAGAGAGAGAGAGAGAGAGAAAACAAACCCGGATGTGAGAGCAAAACATCCTGCACAGCCCCAGCCAGAGCTTGGTAATCCTTTTTTATTACCATCATCATGGAGGTGCTACTAGTATCTGGTGGATAGAGGCAGGTGATGCTTCTAACCACACTGCCATGTCAGGGACAGTTCCTCAGAATGATCTAGTCAGAAATGTCAATAGTACCATGGTTTAAAAGAAAAGTTTCAATGAAATATCAGATGGGTTCCTGTTCCCCTGCAGCCCATCTGTGAATCCCAGATATTAGTGATTCAAATGGTCTCCTATAAAACACTGGACACTGAGCTCAATGACAGCATAGTGACTGCTCCCAGTTATGTACCAGATCTACAAACTGTGAAGGTAAAAGATATGACTGTGTGAAGACAAAATAATGATCATGATATTCAGACTCACTCTTCACACAAACTGCTGGGGAAATTGGTCTAGGACCTTTCTCACTTTGGGAGAGTTTTAAGCACTGAGATGGGTGGCTGGAATTAAGTCCTTGCAGGTTACTTTGCCTAGTGCTCAAAAAAGAATTAAAAAACTATGGGAAAGGTACAGTTATCATTTTACAGAGAGGTTAAGATCTTACAGTAGGCTTTAATTTTTATTTTTTTTTAATAATCTGCATTCCATTAAATAGAGTAAATGCTAATGGAGAGATCCTGCCTAAGGTAAAAAAGAAAATAAAGGAAGAGGCTGATTTAAAAAAAAAAATCTATGGAATACCAGCTATTTGTGAAATCATAGTAATATATATATATATATATATATATATATATATATACTCAAATTTCTAACTTAGATGAGTGAATTTGGACAAATGGTCATCTTTTGAGCCTAAATTACCTTACTTGTAAAAAGAGGTTGGAATAGACAATTTTTAATATTGTACCTCATGACTTCCAGCATGATGACTAGATAGAAACTCTTATATTTGAGAAGGATTTTAGGAGTCATCTAACTTGGTTTAAGTACATAATTTTTACAAATAATGAAAGAGAGCTTCAGAATCCTTCCAGTGTCTGAGCCTAGAATCCCAAGCTGAGCCTCAAATCCATGTACCCTAATTTCTCTTTTCATTTCACCATGTAATTATCTTCCCAAACTATAAAAATCTTCTGAATTACTCCTTGGGCTGTTGTATGTATAATTTATAGGCTAAAGACATTATATCTTTAAAACCTTTGCATTAAATTTGCACTTTCAAAGGACCTTTAAATTACTTCCCAACCAGAAGTTCCCACACAGTAGATACCATTTATACCTCTTATTCTAGGTTTGAGTTTCTGTATGTTTGGAAAGTAGTTTCATAAGATGAGATCATCAACGTGAAAGTGTGTGGAAAGCTATAAAGCATCTATGACATCACTTTTAGTTGGCTACCCAATATTCATTCTCAACCCACTATCCTTTGTTCATTGGATACTTTTTGGTGCCATTTGACCTTGTTCTAACCAGTGGGTCTGCTATGAGGAGATCTCTGGGGAGGACTGTATTCTCCCATTCTCAGATAAAAGGAGGAGACAAGAGAGAACAACAATTCTCTCACCATCCTGGCTGCCTTTGAGCAGGATGAGATGTTTGGAAATATGGCAGTCTTCTTGTAACCATGAGAAGAATCAGAGACATAACCCCAGTACCCTAATATTGTGGAGTTACAAACGTCTTTTTGAATTTTTATAAAGAAAGTTATAGAGTGATAATATGGTTTAAATCATTGCTATTTGAGTTTTCCACTTTTAGTATCTGAGAGCATTTCTAATTGGTGAAGCACTGCAGATAAGACATGGCCAATCACATGAAATACACATTAGTTAACATTGTATCGCAGTGCTTGGCAATAAGAGATAGATACTTAATAATTCAACATTATCTGAGGTAATTAATGAGCAAATTAACATCATTGTGGTTATTAACTTTGTTCCAGTCCAGCTTACAGAGTAATTTAATTTTTTTTAAATGGGGTATTCTATGTGAAACTAGGTAAGGAGTGGAATAGTAAAATATATGGAACATACACCATGAAATCAATTACTTTTGTCCATTGAAGAGAGTTTAGAATAGGATTTCTTTAGGTCACATTTGTGGCAAGAATTATGATTTGGCTGATACAATGTCCATTTCCAACCCTCTTCTTTCACATTCTTGTCTTCACTAGCTCCATTTTCCAGTCTCCCTTGAAGTTTGAGTTGCTGTGTGACAGTGCTTGCCAATAAGATGAAAATGGAGGGGTGCTAGTACCATCACATCCAGTTCTTTCTTCCAGCCTGAATTTAAGATGGATGCGTTAGAGCCTTGAAGCACAGAATCCATCGTTCAGTCATGAGATGAAATGGATGAAAACAAAAGCCAGCACACAAAGCATAATGAAGTAAAATGGTGGACAGAGTCTGGATACTCGGTATCTTTGCTAGGCTGATACATTATCTTCAGACATCTCTTGAGTGAGAACAATAACCATTAGCTCTTTAAATCATTGTTATTAGCAATTAAAATATGCCTTCTATATTATTCAAACTAACTGTGCACTTGTAGTCCAGAAGTCAGCACCACAGTAAAGAAGGGTCCCAGAAGGAGATGAAACTGAGCATGGAATAGAAAACCTGTTTGAAGAAATAATGACAGAAAACTTTCCTGATACAAAGAAGAAAAAACTCACACAAATCAAAGAATCTCACAGTTCCAAACAAAATGAACACCAAAAGGCTGACACCAAGGCACATTATAATTAAACTGGCAAACACCAACAACAAAGTAAGAATCTTAAAAGCAGCTAGAGAGAGACAGAAAGTTACCTAAAAGGATCCCCCATCAGACTAGCAACGGATTTCCCAACAGAAACATATCAGGCCAGAAGGGAATGGAATGAAATATACAAATTCATAAAAAGAAAGGGCCTGAATCCAAGAATACTGTACCCAGCAAGGCTATCAATCAAAATTGAGGGTGAAATCAGGAGCTTCATAGACCAAAAAAAGGAGTAAGGGAGTTTATTACCACCAAACCAGCAATGCAAGAAATGCTAAAGGGTCTGCTATAAAAAGAAGAAATGGGAAATGAAGAAGGAACACAGGGGTAAAGAACAAAAATGGCAACAAATAAGTACCCATTAATAATAACTTTAAATGTAAATGGATTAAATGCCCCACTCAAAAGACACAGGGTAACTGA